GACAGTCGCGCATTCTACTCATACTTGACCGTGATTGGCCAATTTCTTAAGTCCCAGTCTACAATAGATGATTTAAGCTCTAAGCTTTAAGAAATTGGCCAATCACGGTCAAGTACGAGTAGAATACACGACTGTGATTAGTCAATTTCTTAAGGCTTAGGGCTTAAATCTCTATTGTAGACTGGGACTAATGCAGACGCGCACTTCACCGAGTTTGATCCGGTTGTGTGCGCTTCCACGTGTTCTGCGATAAGTCCCAGTCTACAATAGATGATTTAAGCCCTAAGCTTTAAGAAATTGGCCAATCACGGTCAAGTATGAGTAGAATGCGCGACTGTCATTAGTCAATTTCTTAAGGCTTAGGGCTTAAATCTCTATTGTAGACTGGGACTTAGTCCCAGTCTACAATAGATGATTTAAGCCCTAAGCTTTAAGAAATTGGCCAATCACGGTCAAGTATGAGTAGAATGCGCGACTGTGATTAGTCAATTTCTTAAGGCTTAGGGCTTAAATCTCTATTGTAGACTGGGACTTACGAGATCAACGAGTTGATCGCGTAGCCTTGGAATAATCGAGCTTTCGGTGAGTGACGCACCGAGGTAACCTCTAAAGGCCAATGTCCACGATGCTAGAACTTGGTCCAAGTTCTAGCATCGTGGATACAGGCCTTTAGACACGTGACACCTCGCGTATTTACAATATTTACCTTAATTTTGCGTGCCATTGCGAATTACAGGCTCGAATTTTATCAATGATCGCACTACGTCTCTCGCGATGACATGCAAAAGAAACGCGACCGGGAGGCATTAAATCCGTTTATCTAATGATTTGTTATGTCATTTCTTTCGGTCGTCCAGACACACTTGCACATTTCTTTATGCACAAGCATATGCTATTGATAGACTAGATCATCGCTCTATGATTCATTGCTGCTTATCTTGTACAGATACTACCGTAATACACATTTTTACAATATGCGCCGAGCACGTATCAAAGCTTTGGCTGCTGTGCCAGTTCGGAAGAAGCCTCTACAGGATTCTACAGATTCTATTGATGCTAATGATGCGTCTGATAAGGAAAAAAAGAACGAAAACATATCTATTCATGAAACTGAACAAGTGGCTAGCAAGGAGGCTGCAAAGGCAGAAGAACAGAAAAACATTGGTATACCGGAAGAAGAAAGACAAAACGAGGAAGAGACGCGTTTGAGAAACAGCCCTTCGAAATTAAAAAAAACGCAGAAAGGACGTATGCTCGACAGGAGCCAATTGAAAATGTACGATTTGATATATTATAATCCTGTGACAAATACTATAAAAAAAAAGCCAATTAAACAAAGACAAGTGTCTACTACGCCACAGTGAGTATATTGAGTTGCAATGTAATTGAAATATTGAACTTTTATTATAATATCAAAATCTGATTGTTCTCCAGACCAGTGGAAGTTCCAGAAGAGGAGGAAGATGATCCATCGGCAATGTCCACACCACAGGTGAAAGTGGGTCCCGACGGTCAGTTAATAATAGACGAACAAAGTCTTGTGATAAAACACAATGCGAAAAGAGAAGAAGAGATATTTAAGCGAGCGGGGTTACTATTATAGAGGACGAAAACACCCATAGTGGTTTTTATAAAAAATAAAAGCGGAACAAGGAATGGCTGAAATGGGAAACAGTTAAATTTTATAAAGTACTAAACATAGTAGGTACGGACTTTCTATTGATGCAGACATTCTTCCCGAACAGAAGTAGACAAAAAATTAAACAGAAGTACAAGAAGGAAGAGAGAGTTAATCGACAGTTAGTCGAAAAGGCTCTGAAATATCACCAAGAATTCGATACCGATTTGTTAGAAGAGCAACTAGGTATGTTCATTTATAGTCTTTTTTTTCTCTTAAATTCTGCTTTTGTTTGTTCATACAAGTTTTGTAATATATAAAATAATGGTTTACGAGTATGGGAAAATTTTAAGAAATTACAACTACTGTTGTAAATATTGAAGGATTTTTGTACTAGTCCTGATGTGTCTTCTATTTGTTTTTCCCCCAAGTTTTGATTTATTGCTTTTCTAAATGAGTAAGTTATCTGTAAAATGTATTTTGCCTTTAGCAATGCTGCAAAAACTAGAAAATATTCCAGACACATCTAAGAATAAAGCATCGGAAAAAATTAAGAACGGACAATGCTTGAGAAAAATTGACAGAAAACGCAAGCATCGTAAGTACATTGTAATTTTGATTTCATTAACGTGATCAATACTAATATAATAATAGAATTTCTCGACGAATGAACATATAAAAGAATTATATTTTATACTAATTATTACATTTATGGAAAATTAATAAATAATTATAGGATTAGTAGCGGAAAGTATCGGGGAGTGTGAGGCACTCCAACGATCGAGAAGCTGAAGATACTGAGTGCGTTCCGGCCGCAAGACACTGCTACCAGAGAGAAACCTGAGAGCGGCCATCCCAGGCTGGGATTCCCAGCATTCCCAGCCTCGAGGAGCACTTTTTCCAACGCTTGACGCGCCGCCTGAGAAAGTGGATGTGAACTACATCCATTCCGCTCGGTAACGAGACATGGTTCGTGCCCGTACTATGGTTCATGTCCGAACTATTCAGATGAGATGGATCATTATAGTCTGACAAAAGCCAATAATTTTATTGTTCTGGGTTTCTCTCTGGTGGATAAACCCAGAACAATGAAATTATCGGCTTTTGTCAGACTATTCTGCTATAATATCCA